ATTTCAGACAAACTAGGTAGTTTAAAAATGTTTACTATAGTCGAACAAGCTAGAGATTCCTTTATTGTTAGATTAACCGTTTCAATATTTTTATTTAATTCATTGATTTGCTATATTTTAAAATTCATTATACGTAATTTATATTACATAAATAAATTTTTAAAAAATTACATATAAGTGAAACGGGTCAACCGGGTTACCCGGATAATTTAAGATGACCCGGTAATGATATTTTAAACGGGTGAGTAACCCGGAGCTCAAATTTATAACGGGTACAAGCTCTGTGATCATAATAAAATTTATTAATGAAGATTTTTTAGCTAGGTAGTAATTATAGCAAAATTTTAAATAGATGTACAGCCCTAACGGTTCGATAGATTTGGATTTTGCAAAAACCAGTATTATGTCCTTATGAACAAAGTTATAGAGTCGTTTCTTTAAAAAAGAAACCAATTTAGGGTTTCTCTTGTAGATCAAAGTTTTTTTTCTTGCTTAAATGAAAGAAATAGCTCTATAGCTTTGTTCGTAGAGACATAATACTAGTCTTTACAAAATTTTATTGAACCGTTAGGGCTGTGCATCTATTTAAAATTTTGTTATAATTACTATATATAAAATTATTACCTAGCTAAAAAAATCTTCATTAATAAATTTTATTATACGTATGACCACATAGGTAGTTTTGATTTACATAGTACGCCGCACACCCCAATGTTCAATGGTGTCTTGGACTAGTTAATGGACGAATTCACTCCCGTCAAAAAATACTTTAGTGGTTTAATGTATAGAACAATAGTGGACTAGATTGTGTTTTAATTGTAATTACATTGATATATAGTATTGAATTCGTTCCAATCACACCTTGAGATCACAAGATTATAGGACTAGTCTTCGGACTGTTCAGTCCAGACTCGGTCCGAACTAGTTCATCGTGGACCACTAATGCTAATTCGGCCAGTGGCTTGGTGTTTAGCTTTTTTGGTTATTGAGACTAGTAAATTTAATTTTTTACTCTGAACTTGCGCATTCTTGAAAAAAGATTTTTACATTATTACTGCGTTTTTTAAAAGTGTAAGTCTTAACTTTATATTTAATTAATTCGACTAGTTTGCATCGAAATTTGCTTTTTCTGGACTAATTATTGATACAGTGTTAAAAAGTAATAGATTTTTTTTGTACATTTGAAATGAATAGCGTAATCAATAGGTTTATTTTGATTAGATTTTGTATTTGAGACGTGTTATTATGTGCAGATAAGAATAAATTTTATTTAAAATAGTTAAAATATGTGTAATAACAAGTGTATAAATCTTATAATGTAAAAAAAAAAAAAACGAAAAAAAAGTAATCATAACGATAACAGGATAAATCAAGATAATGGTGCCAATAAATGGTTTGTTTTGTTTTTTGTTTTTTTATAATCAAATAATAATGAGTTAATGAGAGTAGAGGTGTAAGAATGTCCAGACTAGTGTTCCGAGTTGATTAAAATTTTTCCAATCGATTAATTGTCAACTTAGCTGTCAACTAATAGTCACATGTTTTCAATAAATTTGATTGGTATAATAAATAATCACATGTTTTATGTATCATTTCAAACCATTCTGATTGGCTAAAAAATCCCACGCTTTAAATTTATTATGTAGATAATCAACCAACTATTAGTTGGTTATAAAATTTCCAATCGATAAGTTAACTAGTTGTCAACTAGTTGGTTTTTCAACTAACGATTTGGATCACTAGTTCAGACATCGATATTACGCTATGCCACATGTACGTGTATAAATTTCAAAACTACGGAGTGACATGACTAGGGAGTAGGAGCTACTAACAGAGGTGCACAAAGTACCGTACAAGCACCTTGCGCAGCATTACATCCAAGTATAACGAGAGGTGTACCTGCACCCGCGGTGACCGTTCCTTTAAATCAAAAGCGTTATTTGTTGTTAAAGTTACATTTTTTAAGAGCAAAAATTATATAACAGTTTAAGTAAATAATATATACCGGCAACGTAGCCAAAGGTAGCGTAACATGAAACCCAACCAATATTACATGCAGTCTGACACGCGCCGTATGCTAGGGGACCCGCATTAACGATTAAAGAAAAGCTAATAATGATAATAGCGATTGCAAGAATTTTTTGATTCATTATTTGCGACAGTTATTAATATGAAATTGGTTTGAAATTGTTATTTTGAATTGTTATGAAATTGATTTGAAATTGTCGCTGAATTGTTATCTTTATGTCTCTTTTATAATAATTTTGTATTTTTCCATACCATTTTGGTCGTTAAGTAATTCTAAACTTAAATAGTTAAATATATGTAGTACAGACCTACAGCGCAGGAAATCTAAAAGCCCTAGAATAATGCTCAACAAGCCAAATTTGTCATCCTTAATAACAACTTTAATTAATTCGAAGATTCTGTAGTTACGTCGACCTATGATTCTATACAAAGAGATTTCCTGTAACATGCGCCCGCCCGTTGAAGCCACACCTGCGCTTTCGGAGTAGCAACTCCAGGCCAACATACCTAGCAAAATCTTGAATTTTTTTTCTTTGTGTTGAAATTCAATTCCGTTGCCACTTAAAAAAAAAAAAAAGAAGAAATTTATATTCCTTCGTTGTAGTATTAGATCGAACATTCTAGTGCATTTTGTCTTTTACTTTTGTGTTACATGCTTATTATGGTATACGATTTAGAATAAAACGTTGTTTCACCGAGGTCAATTAATTAATTTCTTAAGACCCTAGTACTACTGGATACAATGCCAAACGATACAATCTTAACTGACTATTCCCCTTGTCCAACAATCTGATTTCACAATTTTTACTTCAAAATTTAATATATTTTAACTTTTGCATACTAGCATAAACTATCGCAATAAAGATATAGGTTCGAAATTTCTTTATAATCAGCTGTCAGTTTATACGTAAAATCTGGATACGTTTCTAGAAATAAAGACTTGTCCTCTCTATAACGGGCTGAAATAATCGGTCGTTTATAATAAATTTCCACCATGGCATCATAATATTTTAAATTGTAACCATAACATAATTATAAGCATAATAATAATTTTAATTTGTTTCGGAATTATTGTTCCATAATGGGGGATAATGGAATCAGGATGAATTGTCATAAAAAAAAAATTCATATGACAAGCATTTTTCTTAAAAATATTTATTAAGATTTTCACTGAAAGCGCCCAAAACTGTGCCGCATGATCAACTGGTGTAACCTAAGGAAAATGGCGTTAGGTCGTATGTACGTACGTACGTACGTGTGTAATGTGCGAAATGTCATTGTTACCAACGGTATCATGTTATGCTGCCGTCAGCTACGTTGGTGGTATATATGATTTATTCTCTAAACCGTTAAATAATTTTTATTTTAAAATATAACGTTAACGATAAGTAATGCTGTAATGTTTCTTATTTAATTAAAAGGAACGGTCACCGCGGGTGCAGGTTAGAGTTTGGAATCGGGTTTATTTTTCATATGTTATAACCAGTTTTAATCGGGTTATACTTGGATGTCTTTGTTAGTATTTACATACTGCTGTACCGTCATATTCTCCCATTCTCATTCATTTACTATTGTACTATTCACTATTAAAAGCAAACTTTTGTTAGCGCAATATTATTTTCACCTTGATTCTTCATTCTTATTGCCCGACGACACAGCATAAAAACAATTTAGTTGTTTCATTCAGAAATCAATAAATTTTAGGTTCAAAATTTAAATATATAGTATTTTGCATTTGACAAGCCTTTGTATAAAATTTGAGTAGCGAGCTCCTGATTTGAATTAATGTTTTTACAACTTTTATAAAATTAAAATAGTTATTAGAAAATAAAAAAAATTTACTAAGCAAAAATTTTTCATATTTTTAATTAAGGCCATACAAATTTAATTACTTGGTTTTCATAACATGAAACTTTTAAATAGACCCGGCCGGCCGGCTTTTTTTT